CGAGACTTCATTTTTAAGGATCATGATAAATAAAAGTATCCAGAAAAAAAGACCATGCCCTCTTCCAAAATCCATATCATGAAACGGTTTCCCAATATATATTCTATGAGATAATAAAATAATCGTATAAGAAACTTCATGGCAAAAGACTTGTATGATTTAAAAGTATAGTAAAGAAAAAAGGAAAAAAGTCAACCTAATTCTACTCTCAAAAGTTGCAACGCATATTAGAATCTTGTTATAACTGTAACTTGTTGAACCTTAGGTGCTTTGGAACTGGTCTAAAATGTGTGGATTGGCTTCTGGTAAAGACAATAAAAACCATGCAAAGGACAGATGTNTGTCACTTTTCTGCCATGAGTGGAAGCAGCCTGAGGCCCATGCCAGATGCAGCTGTCCCAGAATCCTAAGCCAAATCAACCTCTCTTCCTTATAAATTACCCAGTCTCAGGTAATTCTGTTATAGCAACACAAAACGGACAAAAACAATGAGCAAACGACAGAGAGAAACAGAGAGAGAGACACAGAGAGAGTAAACAGGCAGGCAGGGTCACACACATACACCTCATATACTAAAATTTAAAACTAGTTTATTCAGGGAAGCTTGTGGTACCTTAGGTATTTGTTACACTATAGGATACTAATGAAAGATGGCATCCAACTGAACGATTTATGAATTAAAATATTTTGAAATCTATGTCCAAATAACATATTATCAATTATTTTCCAAACTAAATGAATCATGTTATGCTTCTAAATCTTAAGTTCTTTAGTCCACTTGGCAAACAAATGATATACATTTTTAAAAAACAAACATGTATATGATTCAAAAGAGCACAAGATCTACATCTGGATGCAAAAGTTACTTCTTATCTTCTATTTACAGCTTAATATCATTTGGGATTAAAAAATCTTCTCTCTTAACTTTCATCCCTACCCTAAACTATGAATCAGCTTTTAATGGCAATAAGGCTCATATAAAATCTTCACAGTCATAAATGAAAGGATAATCTGGGCTTGTGCAAAGGCTGGATTTTGTATTTCTTTTGGATTATTTCTATAT